CGTCGCTAATGCGGCTTTCTTTCGCGCTCGCGTTCGCTCCCCCACCTGGCCAGGTTGAAAGCGTCGTCGATGAGTCCCGCGCGGTTGCCCACCGAGATGACCTGCGTCACACGGAATCACGCGCTCGCATCGGCTCGCCGGCGGGGTCGCTCGGGCGGCGTCGCGGCCTGACCTGGGGGTTGCTGCGCAGCTGGCGGATCAGCAGCTTCCAGTTCCGGAGGTCGTAGTTGACGCGGAAGTAGCCCGTCTGGTTGATGTTGGCGAGCAGCCACGTCTGCTCGTCCATCTCGCGCAGCCTGTGGCTTTCTGCCGCCAGAGCCGAGAAGCCGTCCGCCATCGGAGGGACCATTAAGACCGGCAGGCGCTCGATGCGCCGGTCGGCCGCGAGCCGCCGCCGACGCGATTGGACGCTCACCTGTCCGATTGCGGATCCAGATGAGAGTCTCTGAACACAGCCGGGACAGGTTTCCCGTGGCGACCGTCAACGGCACCTGCCACTGCAAACTAATGACACGCGCACCACGTCACCTCCCGCGAAAATGCTCGACAGAATAACAGGCCAAACATTGGAGTGGGGAAAGCAAATATTGCCCAAGCAGGAAAGAGAAACACGGCAATCAATGACGGCACCGTGGGCAACGCCGGCGCCGCAGAGAGGCCGGCGAAAGGGAACCCGGGCCGCGCCCCCCCGGCGCCGTCAATTTGGGCCCCGAGCTCCGGGGGCGTCTTCCGTCCAAAGAAAAGAAGGCCGGCACGCCGGAAGGAGCTTGGTGACGAGCGGCTCGCTCCAATGGCGGCGGCGCTCCTACCTCGGACAGCTTCCTCCACAGGTCGTCGCGGGCCGCGTTGCCGTACATGTGGCTCAGCAGATAATCCTGCGCGGCAACAGACACCACAGGGACTCGTCAGAGAGTCGCGACGGCGACTTTGGTCGTCTGGCCGATGACGACCAAAGTCGCCGTCGGGACGCGCGTTCAAAAGCGGCAGGCCCCCCCCGGCGTCGCCTTTCGGCCGGCCGGTCGCCCGCGGGGCCGACTTCCCGTCACGGCGTCTCAAAGACCCGAGGTCGCCGTCACGCACGCTTCGCCCGCTCTCGTTCGCTCCCGCCCAAGCGCCGCACGGGCTTACGTGAAGTCCTTTGCGGAAGAGTCTCGGTCCCATCACGTTGGCCAGCATCCGGATCAGCGCCGCCCCCTGCCGGACACACAAACAAAGGCCGTCGCGCCCGACTCGGACCGGTTGGTGTCACGCGGCCTCGTCGGCATTTTACAGCCGCTTCTCTTTCTATCGCGTGTCAATCGCGTCCTCCGCGCTCAATCAAATGGCGGGGGCGCATCCCGTGAAGACAAAGCGCGGACCGGTCGCCAGTCCGTGTCAGGGCGCGGCGAGGCGGCGGTGCGCAGCGGGTACTTTTTTGTACGCGATCCAGTCGAAGACGCGGTCGATGTCGGCGGCGTCGCGCACTTCCTGCGAGATGGGGTGGGAGGAACTCAGGCCGTCCAGCGACATCACCTCGTGCAGGACGTCCGTCAGGAAGCGCTGCTTCTCCTGCGAGCACAACGCGCCGTTGGAAACTTCATTGCGGGGCTTTTGGGGAGGGGGGGGGGGGTTTTTTCTCAGCCTCAATCCTGGAGCGTGTGGCCCAGGCTAATTAGTGGTTACATTGGAGATTTCCTCCTAATGAATGTCACACTTCATCAGCCACAGTGCACGCCCCCCCCCCCTCCAAGCCCCCATTTAACTTTTGCTGGGCTTTCACTGCTAATTAGCTCAATGAACAGCGACACTTTTTTTGTTCCGTGAAGCAAATCGGCCGAGATCAAACAAATTGCGGAGATTGACTTGGAATGAGTTTTCTTCTTTTTTTTTTTTTCCAACCCGATGACGTGAAATGAAAAGTCGTGCTCCGATCCGCCGGACCTGTACGACGGGAACCGCCAAATAAAATCACAAGCGGCCGTGTTTCATGTTGGTTTTCTCGTAGCGCAAGAACGACGTCGGCAGGCGGCGCTCGTCCACCTTTCCGGATCGCAGAGTGTCAATCAACACCACAAAAGAAGGTTCCGTTTTTTTGCAGGTCCAGGACCGCACGCGCGCGCAAATGTCGAGTGCAATTTTCGTACGGGAGGCCGGTCACCAAACAACCAAAGCGACCCGTGCAAACAAGGCGCCGTACCCGCACGCGTGCCAGCTGACTCACCATGTTCCATTTGGGGAAGAGGAAGTCGGTGCCGACGTACTCGAAGTAGTGAGCGAAGCCTTCCTTCAGCCACACGTCCTCCCACCACAGCGGCGTCACCAGGTCGCCGAACCACTGCCACGCACAAAAGCGCCGTCTTACACGTCACGGTGAGCGCTCTTTGTCTTTGTTCTTTGTTATTTGTTATTTGTGGCGGCCATCGCGCGGCGACGGTCTTTTCTTCGGTCCGGGACCAGACAAGCAGCGCACGGGATGCACCGACCGCGGCTCTTTTCGAGGGCCGGCCGGCCGGCGACGAGACGCCGGGGGAACGGTCCCGTCCGTTTCGGGGGTCCCGAGGGAGCCGCGGTCTCTCACCTGGTGGCAGATCTCGTGGACGACCACCATGGTCAGCTCCATCCGGTAGGACGACGACGACACCCGGGCGTCCAGCAGGATCTTCTGCTCCACGAAGACGCTGAGGCCCCAGTTCTCCATGGCGGCGTACGGGTGCTTGGGCACCGCCAGCAGGTCTGCGTGTGGCAAACGCACAAAAAACACTCGCTCATGCCTTTGAAATGTGTCCGAAGGTTCAAGTCCTTGAAAATATTTTCCAAAACCGGAAGAGAACACGGTCATCTCTCCGCTTTGACAGCTGTCAATCGGCCGTCACCGCCCCCCCCCCACTGCCACGGCTAGCTTGTTGCTACGTAGCAACACAACCGACTCGCAAAGGCTTCGCTCGACGACCGCAGTCGGTGCGCCGGGTTGCCGTGGAAACAGACATCCCGGAGTTGTCACGCACGGAGCCGGCGCCCGACGGACGCCCACCCCGGACGTGCAAATGAGCCCGCGGGTGGAAAACGCACGCCGCGCAAATGAGATTGACTTGGAGGGGGCGGCGACCGCTTGCTCCCGTCCCATTCACCCGCGGCGGCCTCCGCGTCCGCGGATGACACGCCGATGCGCGGCGATGCCAAAAATAGCCCGCGGGTTTATTTTTGGCGGAAAGTTCTTTCTTTGTCATTTTGCGTCGCGTCGTCTTCCTCTCAGCGGGCTCCTTTCCGTCGTGCCTCCATCGCTCGTTGCGCTTCCTCGACCTCTCGGTCATCACAAGTGGGGTGTCCGGAGGCCGTCCTCGAGACCGCCGAAGCTCACGTGACGGGGGGAAAGTCCGTTTGGAGAGGAGTCGGCACGTGGTCGACTTGAAGCTGACGGGACTCCCCGAACATGCGTTGCGCTTTCGCCGTTGGCGCGCCGCCCGCCTTGATCAGGGAAGGCCCCCGGCGAGCAAGCCCGAGACTTTTTCTTTGTCTTTGTCGCCCGCGATGCGCCTCGAGTGCCGCTTCCTTCTTTGGACGGTGAAAGAAATTGACGCGCCGGCAGCCGAGTTCTTTGAGAGCGCGGCAAAGCTGACCCGAGGGGGAGCGCTTTTGACGTGTCCTCGTTCCATCGGCACACGCGTCCCCCCTTCGCCGAGCGGAGCCGCCGACGCGGCCTCGTCACGTCCGGGAGAAAAGTTGCGCCATGAGGTGGCGCAACTCGGCTCGCTCATCGCCGATGGTGAGAGGGAGACGTTGCCATGGTAACCACTCCGGTCAACGTCCCGCGTCGCAACGGTGGCCGCGTGTCCGGGAGGGCGCCGCGGTCACCCTGATGTCGGTTGACCTTGCGGCGTCCGTAGGGTCGCCGTGGTAACCGGATGTCCGTCGGGGGCTGGGGGTCATCGCGCTCCGACGAGCCGCTCCCACTTGTCAGCGACTTCCATCGGGGTCGCCGCACGAGAGACGGCAGAGCAGCAGGGAGCTTGCGTAACTTCTCACCAAGCCAAGCGGACTCGTTGCGACTGCAGAGCGGCGCGCAGACAGCTGAATGGCCGGCGGCTCGCCCCGCGCCGAGCGGCGCGCGCCGCCTTTCGCTTGGGCCCATCTGTTGTTGCGTGTGGGCCCGAGGCCCGCAGACAAAGGCGGAGGAGCGCACGCGGCGGAGGTGCGCGCGTGCGCCGGCCCCGAGGCGGCGCCGTGCGTGCGCGGATCCCAG